GTAGGAAGGGAGGTACGGTGTTAAAAATACCCTCAAAAAAGCAAACAAATGTGTGATGTCCTTTCTGTAAGCTCGCATGTCTTCCTCTTGAGCATCACTGCTGCTAGAATTAATTATTTCTAAATGTCACACGGCTTTTACTTCCCAACTGTGGAAGAAATGTGCCAAGCTCATCTGGTGGCCATGGTAAAGTATCCGGGTGTAAACGTATGCATAAAAATTAATGTAGGACTTCTGTGTGAGAATGAAAATGTCACTGTGTATCAGAGGGATGCCCCTACCCCTACCCCCGGGAAAGGCATACTGCTGAATTATTTCCCCACATCGCTTGCGGGCATTAATTACAACATGAAATGTGATACGGCGAATGTTTTTCACATGCAGGAACCTGACAAATTGCCTTAATGTGTCACAGTGTCTTTTAATTGCTGGCTCCGAGAGATAAAGAACATCCCAGTTGTGGTCCTATAAATATCGCTTGATTGATGCGCTTTGCGACACCACTTAATGACAGCATTGACGTCTCAGGATTTATAGTAAGTATGTCCCTCTTCTCTTATCGTTTTTTAGGGCCTGTATTCCATGTGAACTTAAGGGATGGGATGCACGTGATAGAGTGAGACTGTCTCCATCCATCTTTTTCCCAAGGTCAGGTCATGAAGGTACCAGACCCAAGAGGTAAACATAAAACAGCCTTGTCCATAGAAACACACTAGAGGTGAATTTCCGAGCGATAACGAAAAACCTTTAACATCCACCCGTAGACCCACAACTTAATAGACAAAAAAGCATGCTTTAAGATCAAATATGCATGCATTTGCTTACACAAGATTTTCCATGTTTTGGATAATACTCCCCAGTTTTGGGACTCAAAGTCTATTTGTAGCCACCCGCTTCCCACATATTCAACTTAATGGCATTCCGCTCCCATGAGATTTGGATTGGGTTTCGCATGTTCCCTTTCCCCCCGCAGGGCTCTAACCTGCAACTCCTCCTCGGGCAGTGGTGTGTTTTTGTAAAATAATGCACACACACATATATATATATATATATATATATATATATATATATATATATGAATTTATAGTTTAAAGAAAATACTCTTTAAAATAGGCACATTATCAAAAATCTGAAAAAGCATGGCCTGTCATGGCACCTACAGTCATTCACCCATTCACCCATACTACACCTGTAGCAACAGCTACCCTGGAGCACAACGATCTCTCTGACCAACACCAGACAATCAGTAGCTGCGTTTACATGTGCCAAATTTCCTCAGTCCGATTGAAACTTGGTTGATCGGAATTTCTGAATCTCTGTTTACATGGACACGAACTGAAATGATCCGATCATGCCGTGCGTACATATGCACCAAGCATTTAATCCGATTTAATAGGTTGAGCATGCGCAGAGTTGCCTTTCCCGAAAGAAAAATTGTAAACAAACGCCATGAAACAAAATGAAAAATGTAAAAACAGAAATAACTATTCTTCCTGCTTTCCTGATCCATTTCTTCAATTTAATATTTTTATTTAGCTCATAGAAGTTACGTTTTCTTCAGTGAATAACTGCAGATATATGCTTTGCTGCATTTTATTGTTGATTAAAATAAGGGAGGGTTATGTCTCTGCCTCTTGATCAGCTGGTCCGCGGGTCTGAAGTGACAGCTGTGCTGCTGTGCTGCGGCACAGAGTTCAAACAAAATATCAGAAGATGTTCAGAAAGTTTAGAAGCCTGTGTTCATCATTTACAATCCGCATCTCAGGTCATCTGCGTTTACGTGCTTTTAACACGGACTTTACTGTCGTCCAGAATATTTAACCGAGGACGTTTACCTACCCAACATCAGCCTCCAATCAGGTCTGTAAAACCCGTATTATCCTGTGTTCTTTACAAGCGCGTCTCCATCACCTGCTGCAGAAGCTGCTGCGTTCAAAGCTGACAGAAACGGGGATCCGTGCGCTGCAACCCCTGCGATAAACCTGCGTATTTCCAGTATAGATTTGAACATGTTTGTTGAGTGATTTGTGCAATGATCTGATTTTTATTTTACTTCCACAAAATGCAAGTTCTGAATTAAATATTACTGAAACGGGGACGGCTTGTCGTCGGATTTAAAAGCCGCCGCTCATTAATTACGCCGTCATTTTTGGAGTCAGGCAGTCCAAATGACAGCGGAGAGGCCCGCTCGCTGTTGCACACATGCGCAGTGGGCATTATTTTACCCCAACAATCCGAATGGCTGTGTACATGCATGTCAATCGGAATGAAGAACGGAATAAACCACCTCTCTCAGGCCGAATCGGATCAGAATATTCCGATTGACATGTTTACATGCAGAATTTTCGATCTGATCGGGCATTCAATCCGATTAAATATGCGCATGTAAACGTGGCGAGTGTCAATCGTATTGAACATATACGACTACAATAGACTAAACGGGATGCAAACCTGAAACCCTCTGGTTAGGAGGCAGGTATCTGACTATGTCTTAGCGCTGTTGCCCCCAGTCTACATGAACAGATTACTTGAGAAATAGAAATGCAGTTGGAGGCCACACAAAGTCTGTCCGAGTACCACAAATGGTCCCCAGGCCTGACTTCGGACATGCCTGTCATAAGACGATCCAAAGAAAGTCCTAGGCAAGACAGGAGGCATAATCTCTATAGAGAATTCCTGGTTAGCCCTGGGCTCTCCTCCTATTGAGATGTGCTCAGAAACCTTCTAATTGAAGACAGCTTTGATGAGGAGAAGGAGAGTTCTTTTTTTCAGCTCCTTGTTCCTGGGATTCCATTCTTTTCAGTCCCAATCCAAATTTCATGACCATAAATAAGGGTTAGCTTTTGCCTTTTGGCCTTCGTTGAAAATAGTCGATCTTTTGAACCATCCTACTCGTGAACAAGTTTAGTGTTTTTATAGCAGTACATCAGAGTCCTTGGTGTAGGAAGTAGTTCACAGTATGTATTCCTCCCCCCGACTCTATCTATAAACCCTCTTGATCTATTACGGTAGCGCGACTCGGGTTGCGAATGACCAGTCACCAATTCTTGTCATGTATGTATGTCTGATCTCAGAATTGTGTGTATTGAAACTCTAATTTCCCTCTGGGATTAATAAAGTATTATTGAATTGAATTGAACTGAATTGAATTTACCGTTTTTTTCATATAAAAACTTGGGTCACACTGCGTTTTTTTTTTTGGCCATCCTAGACAAACTCCTCTTAGTGAACAGCGTCGTGACAAAAAACAGTAAATGTGAGGGTGATTTGCTAGTCTCTTACCAGCCCAGCGACAGCTTTTCGAGCACCCTCACGACCAAATTCAACCTCCAATTGTCTTTAGGCATTGCTTGAAAACCTGCGGCTCCCATCCGCAACCGACCAATGAAAATACACCCAGAGAGTGACGTGAACAACTAGTGATAATAGTACAATGCAAGAGTAGAATTAGCAACATTAGCAACAGTGGAGGCTACTCGTAGGAGCACGTGGACCACTCCTTTTTGGAGTTTGGTTTGAACTCTAAAAAAGGAAGTGTTAACGGTGGTGTATTTTCTTCTTTTCATCGTTGTTGTCTTGGGTATCTGTCAGCTTTTAGTGACGTATGCTTTTAAGCGAGTATGCTTGTGACATTAGTGTGTCCTGCTAGGAAGTTGTGCAGTTTGGCTCTCTAAAATCTTGGACTGTACAGTGTGCCACCTCTCTAGAGTCCTCACCGTGTGACGTGACAAACTCCTGTGCAACAGCCAAACGTAGTCTGGGCTTAAAGAGTGATAATAATAAATAATCATGATTTTGCTATCGATCGAAAAAGTCTTGATTCTGATTCTATGAGCAAGCATCCCTGTGTAGTGCTCCTTGAATTAGAAATATCACATATCTTGAGGGTTTGAGGAAGTAAAGTACCCAACAAATTATTGAAGTGGTAGCCTTAGTTTTTGAACAACAAAGACTTTCAACAACAAAATATCGACTGAGCTACAAAAATATTGCTCAAATTCTAAATAAACACTGTTGGAAGTAGGGCTGGGCAGTAAATCGAAAATTTATTATTATCAAAATTTCTGACTCTTATCGAGATAATTTTTCCCATGTCAGTAAATTTGATAATAAAAAAATGAAAAGATGTGTAGGTTGGCAACATTCATGTCGCTTTAAGAAGTTGTACCACCTTGAGTCACGTAAAAATGTGACTCAACGTAATACACTTGACAGCCCCATCTAGTGGACAACTTTTGTTTCTGTGCATACCTGTAGTTATCGTCCATTTATCGTTATCGAGGTGAAATCCTCAATATATCATGATATTGATTTTAGGCCATCTTGCCCAGCCCTAATTGGAAGGGAAACACTGATCCATATACCTATTTACAAATGTATAATGTGCTTTAGCTTTTACACCATTACATCTTTATTTAATTTCGAGAGATCACCCCAAAACCGCAAAACTTGATGTGGAACTTACAGTAGGGCACCCACTCCAACTTTGGTAACCACTGGTTCAAAGACATTTATTTGTTCCCTATAGAAACTCAACTTTAGCAAAAGCTTTGAAACTTTTATCATGGAGGAACATCAACACATAAATCTTTATCAGATTTCCACTTCTCAACTCCAGCCACTGACTTAAGAGCTCGACACAAACTTGAAACAAAGGTTGTTAGAGGTCTTGACTTGCAGTGCTACGACAAATCCAATAATCCAATTAAAACATCACCTCAAAGGGTCAAGAACCATCTGATGTGGAAATAATTTGGTCCGTGATTTATGCTCTATTTTGGTCAAGTGCCACTTCAGCACACTTGCATCAATCACAGGTACATTAGGTACTTCAAAGGCAGACTTTTCCTCATTTCAACCCAATTAAAAGCACTGAGAAACAACAGTGACTCTGATGGTACCAACCATGGATTGGCATCGATATTGCTGCTTTTTTTTTGCGGGGGGTGGGGGGTGGGGGGGGGTGGGGGGACTACTCCACATTCCAATCTGGCATTTACCTGTGGAAAAGACGACATTTTTGGACACTAGTTTGTAATCAACGATGGAGAACTGTGGCAGTTCGATGCGCGTCACCCCGGTTACGGCCGACTCGCCTCCTTTCCAGTAGAACTCAATGTCATCTGTGGTGTAGCCATCTGTAGAAGAAGAAACACACATACACCAAGGTGTAACCATCTGTCAAAAGCATCGCTGGAGACCAAGATATGCAGTGTTGCTGATCGTCCAACTGGGCTGTCATTTGGGAAGGGAAAAAAAACGTTTGATGTTGATTCCAAGAGCCAGACGTTGCTTTGAAAAAGCGAGACATTTAACAGGTTCACCACACTTCAGGAGGGTTTTAATTTAGACCTCATACTTTATTCATTTCCTGCATGAAAATCTAGCATGCACTCCATTCTTACACTTTATCTTCTTGAATAACTCATAATTAAGAACACTGTTTTCTCGATTACCACGTGAATGCCTGGGGTAAATTATACCCCTATTAAAGGCTAACATGAAAACAAGCAGAGTTCTGAGCTCATAATTATCTTCACAGCAATTTGCTACAATGTGTTGGATACATTTTATTCCAAATACATCAGTTTTGATTTGTGAATCTACTATAATTATCATAAGTTTTCTAAATGGCCAATGAAGGTACGAAGTAAGAAGGTCTTCACATTGAAATGATAGATTAATGTTTCTGAAACACCCACAAATTTAAAATTTGCAGTGAGCATTTAAGGTCAACTAGTAACCATCATTGATTAATGGCATTACCAAGGTAACCACAAACCTGTCTATACCCCCCAATCTCTCTCACTGACATGGTTCTTCAATTAGACACGGATAGAAACTCAGATCACAAAGAAATATTTAACTAAAGTTCAGTGTTCAAAAGTTGAAATTTGCACCGGGAAAATTTCTGAACATTAAACAATCAATTTTAATGTGTCTACTGAGTTCTAGGATGTTTGAGGAGTTATAAGAAACCTCAATTTCTAACGTTGGGACAAAAATGTGATCTACAATGTAACGGTCACCTATTTAATGATGAAATACTTTCTTCCTTGAGGGGGGTTGGGAGAAAACACAAAGTCCTATCACACTGTAAGACACACTGGGCAACAGCACCAATATTTTGTTTATCAAATGTAAATTTTATGTGAGTAAATTCTGAATTTTTGAAAGTTGACAGTTTTGGCTTGCTTTTAGCACCCCTAGTGTCCGTTTGTAGAGCCGAAAGCAAAACCTATCTCCTCACTGTGCGTTTGTCTTTTTAACACCTTAATCTAACAGCTGAAATGTGTCCCAGCCTTCATTAGTGTCTACAGGAGCAGTTCATTACTACAATCAAACAAATCAACTGTGTTCATGATCTAAAACATGCAGGAAATGTGCTGGAACCAGACTGCAGCACCAGGTCCCAACAGAGAGGCCCGCCAATCTGAAGTTGCAAGTGCAATATTCTGGCCACAGGGGCCGTGGGGGCTGGGTGGCCTTTCATTAACACTAAAGGGTCATTTTAGCACGTACTGGGCTCAAGAAAATTATTTAAAAATATGAAAGTTGACAAGTATCCCTTTAAGAGTATGTGATGTCATCACACTCATTTGAATCAAACGAAGACTTTTGAGAAAAAATAAAGTAAAACTAAAGCTGATATCCAAAAACCACTTCATTCATAACTTGTTTATACTTTGATTGATGTTTCTGCTGTGATGTCGACCTGAACTATAAAACTCCAAAGTGGCCAGGATTTTTTCACCTATTTCTCCAAAATCCCACAACTTTCTATGTGAAAATGTGTTTTAACTAATTTTATGTTTTACTTTTACCAGAGCTCTAGTCTCATCTTTGTTTGGGCTTGTCCATAGATTCATCATGGAAATGGATCAATGACAAGTTTGTGACCATTTCCTTGACTCTCTTATGTCATTAATCTGCCTCAACAAATAAGCAACTGTTAAGAGGGTGAATTTGAACTCAAAGGGGCAAATTTGTCTCATATAGTGAGTTATTTTGGGTCTCCTGCAGGAACTGTTTAACGTCTGACAAAATACCCTAGGTGACATCACCAGGGTTATACTGAGCCAGGCTTACAGTATTTATAACAGAGATCTTGTGTAATAAACCAAATATCTTACTGTCTCTTCATTTTCAAAATGTCAACTGTCAGCGTGTGGTCTTTATGGAAGTGGTCTATCAAATTCATGAAATGAGCTTCATGTTTATGTCTTTGTGGAGCAGAATGAACAAGACTCACAGCTCTCTATTTCCAGCGTGCAGTTCTGTTCATCCAGGGGATACCTCCTAAGGTCCATCATGCAAGCAGCTGTAGTAGTTATTCTGAAAAGGACAACGGAAAAGAGATGAGCAAACACTACATAAACCACACAAACCATTGAAATAAAGACGCAAGTTACCATAAGCATCTACCTAAAAGCATAAGCGCTAATGAAATTAGCTTTAAAGCACTGAGAACTTGACTGAGTCTATCATATTTAAAGGAAACTAAAAGTCTATTTGTCTTTTCTACATGTTTCTCAGCCAGTCTCATATTACAGGAGGTATTGTCACCCTAAAATCTGATTACAGCAGCCCCTCTGAGTCAAATATGCTGATGCCGCTGCATATGCATAATTAAACCATAAATCAGCGACAGAACAATCATTCCCTGACACCATAACTGGCCGCCATCCCATCCTACGATTAGGTGCAAATTTGTGAATATGAAAATGGAATAGTGGGAAGAGGTTTTTGGCAGAGTGTGCTCATCTGAAGTGGGTCACGAAGAGTTATCCCTTTGGTTTTGGTTCAGACATGTGAGAATCAGACAGCTAAAATAAGCAGCAAAGTCAAATGTAAATTCAGAATCATTTTGGTGAAGTCTGGCCTGATTAAAAAGCCGGCTGCTTGGCAGCGATCCACTGGATGGTTGGTTTAGTTGGGACTCAGATGTAGAAAGCTATTTTTGAAATTATCTAACAGGTTAAAGTTACACCAAGAAAATACGTCTTTATATTAGGAATGGTTATTAGGAATAGTTGAATCTCAGATTGAGGAGGAGCAATGTGGTTTTCGTCCTGGCCGTGGAACTGTGGACCAGCTCTATACCCTTGCAAGGGGCATGGGAGTTTGCCCAACCAATCCACATGTGTTTTGTGGATTTGGAGAAGGCTTATGACCGTGTCCCCAGGGGCACCCTGTGGGGGACGCTCCAGGAGTATGGGGTGGGTGGCTTTATGTTAAGGGCCATTCAGTCCCTTTACCAGAGGAGCGTGAGTTTGGTCCGCATAGCCGGTAGTAAGTCAGACCTGTTCCTGGTGAGGGTTGGACTCCGCCAGGGCTGCCCTTTGTCACCGGTTCTGTTCATCACCTTTATGGACAGAATTTCTAGGCGCAGCCGTGGTGTGGAGTGTGTCGAGTTTGGTGGCAGGAGAATCTCGTCTCTGCTTTTTGCAGATGATGTGGTCTTCCTAGCTTCATCCAGCTCTGATCTTCAGCTCTTAATGGGTAGGTTTGCGGCCGAGTGTGAAGCAGCTGGGATGAGGATCAGCACCTCCAAATCTGAGACCATGGTTCTCGACCGGAAAAGGGTGGCTTGCCAACTCCGGGTCGGGGGAGAGGTCCTACCTCAAGTGGAGGAGTTTAAGGATCTCGGGGTCTTGTTCACGAGTGAGGGTAGGAGGGATCGGGAGATCGACAGCCGGATTGGTTCAGCGTCTGCAGTGATGCGGACGCTGAGCCGATCTGTCGTGGTGAAGAGGGAGCTGAGCCAGAAAGCCAGGCTCTCGATTTACCGGTCGATCTACGTCCCAATCCTCACCTATGGTCATGAGCTTTGGGTAATGACCGAAAGAACGAGATCGCGGATGCAAGCGGCCGAAATGAGTTTCCTCCGTAGGGTGGCCGGGCTCAGCCTTAGAGATAGGGTGAGGAGCTCGGACTTTCGGGAGGGACTCGGAGTAGAACCGCTGCTCCTCCGGATCGAAAGGAGTCAGTTGAGGTGGTTTGGGCGTCTGGTCAGGATGCCTCCTGGACGCCTCCCTGGGGAGGTGTTTCGGGCATGTCCTGCCGGCAGGAGGCCTCCGTGTTGACCCTGGACACGTTGGAGAGGTTACATCTCCAATCTGGTCCGCGAACGCCTTGGGGTCCAGAAGCAACTCACGGCAAAAATAGAACCCAAGCCTATCTTTAGCGACTCAGTAGCTAAGAAGGGAGCCACTTCTGGGATGCACCCAAAAATTGCCGCAACACAACTGGTTTGAAACACCCCCATAGACTATAATGGATTCTATGTGAAGCAGCGACGTTCTGCTGCCATTCCGCGGCACTGATGCTTCCAGTGTGAAATAGGAGTTAGAGCCACAGCAGGCCAGAACAGTCTTGTGGCTTGATCACAGCACTCTGTTGGTTTGGTGAGCTGGATGCTACTGCGACTGAGTGAAAAAACAAAGATGGTAACAGCTCTGGTATCAACTTTAGGCTATTTAGACTCGAGCTTTTCTTTGAGTCAAGAGCAGATAGAGGTCCTTTACTTCAAAAAAGCATAGAACAGAATAGAATACAGCAGCACATACACTTGAAAAGGAAGAAAATAAGAAGATTACAGGTTAACACAAAAAGGCAATAAGCTATTATTATATTGTAGCATGTTTTCGTCTTCTTTGACAGTTGGTTGAGCCCTGTTGACTGACTTACGCAGTGTGGGTACATCGTGTTGTTCATTTTCCAGTAGCTCGAGGAGACTGAAGGACAACCGTAGAATCTGCCCTACGACTGAGCTCGGTCCATAAGCCGTGGCCAGCCTCTATATTCTTATACTGTACATAGGATGGCTTGGCAGCTTAACATATTGCACCTTTAAAGGGTTTGGATGGCAATTATTTTACATTAAAACTTCCCAGAGTATAAAAAACCTCCAAATGGAATGTTCTTTAATGTTCACAAACATACAAGAAAAAAGGGAATTTAGTTAGAATTTTCCAAACACCTTAGTAGCAACTTGTTTACTGTCTGATCCTCAACTTCGCCTGACATTCGTTTACGTAACAGCTCAGACCAAACACCGCCGCGTCACACATCTGCTTCCCTTTGATCTCCTGAAAGGCCTATAAGTAGCCAACAAGGCTAAATTCTCTGAACTCCACCTGCATAATCAGGCAGAGCTGTTTGACTTTAAAGAACAAACACTGACAGATGCAAATGCAAGTGCACGAAAAAAAGACAGAAACACACACTCCCAATGCTCACTGATGATTCAAATCATGCATCCATATTCATGGATCGTCATGCAAACTCCTCTCAAGCTGCCAGTGGAAATGATCAACTAAAACAAAAATAAAGACATTTCAACTAAGCTAGAAGCACACCTTTGCATTGTGTGTACTCACTGAGAAAAAATACAGGCAAGTAAAAGGAGGATTTGACAAGTAGACTGCGAGACCAAGGACTTTAATTAGACAGTGTATAGGTTTTATCTTAAATCTCTGGAAATATCCATTGAAACGTTGTTGAAAATGAATAAAACAATTCCAGTCGTTGAAAATACTGGCGTCGTCGTACCAAATTACTATAAAAATCGGGTTTAAACTACATAGGGCATGGGTCTAGGGACTTTGTGGGACGCCATGTTTCCTTCTGGCCAGCTCAGGGTCCTACGCCTGTCGATGGTGTCCCACTACATGATTGGCTGGACGTACAACTTACGGACGTTATATTACCATGTTCCAAAACGTTTAGGTAGTAAGAAACACAAATTTTACAACAAAACTGCTAAAATCTTTCCACAACCTACGCAAAACAGAATCGAAAAAATATATTAACGTGGTATGACGTCATCAGCAGGTGCAGGACATTACAGTACGGAATATACAGCGCCAGAAAACTAGCGTCGGCATTGCATTCTCTCATTGGATTTAACTGAATCATGTTAAAACTGTTGACTGTATGGATGGACCCTTTGTGCCATCACTCGTAGGTTGTTGAAGAGATAAACTGAAGCCCAGTGGGCGGTTCACACCACCTCCATCTTGACGTCGTCACATAAGTCTCGTCAGTCTCGGAAAATACAAAAATGGGCAAAGAGGGGGAGCTGAGAGCGGGGCTGTGAGGGTGGGGGCAGATGATTGACACCTATCAAACTCTGAGCCCATGAGCTAACTAAAGCTAACGAAGGTCGGTGGGCACTTTTAGCCAAAAGACTGCAGTAGAGCGACTCTGCTACCCTCTGCTTTCTAAGCTGTAACACTTATAACGTGAGGACGAGGCAGAGGCCTTCCCTGGAGCAAGCAGGGGGCTCGCCGCTAGCGCTAGTGCTAATGACTCACCTGCTTCCTGTGAATTAAATGGACATGCCAGTGTGTTTTGCACTCCCTCTGCCAAATGAGTTTAGACCTTATCCGGAACACTTTTGTGACCATTTGGAAATTTGGAATAGATACATTTACATGGAAACCTCAAAAATGAATGAAAAGACTAGTAAACATACCTTAGCCCATAGAGAACGGTTCCGTCTGGATGCAGGCGGATCATGCGATTTTTCACAGTGACTCCGTGAACAAAAGACTTCTTGTCATTGAGGAAGTAGGTGTCAGGGACCCAGAGCTGGTCAGCCACCCTGTTGTCCAGAGTCAGGTTTAGGGGGATCCCTACGTAGGCCAAACGCTTGTCCCTCCAGTACTGTTGGAAATACATAGTTAAGGTGTAGTCCTGTGGATAAAACAGAGCAGAAAGCACTATGAGAATACTGATTCTGCTGCTGGGATTCACAAAGCTAAACTTTATAACACCTAAAAGCTTTTTAAATGTGTTTTCGTTCAATTTATCTAAATGGACACTTGCGGTGAATTATTGTGACTTCTGCTCAAATGGAGTTTTTTTAAGGCTTGTTTATAATTTTACTAAATGTCAGGTTGTAGTTCTCACTCCTAACTCGTAACTGAGAGAAATTTATGCTAACATTTTGATGCATAATCCTCATAGGTCACAGCTAATTTGTTATTCCAATAGGTATTTTCTGAAAAGCCCCACTGCCGTGCGCAAGAGCCTCAGAGGTCTTCCGTGTCTTCTTGTGTTAATTTTATAGTTCATCATTTGTATTTTATAGGATTTAAATTATAATTCACAGTTTCATTTCTAGAAATAGGACATGGAGATGCACCGATACTACGGAGGAAATACAGTATCAACAGAATAAGACTTTTCATATTAAACATAGAATTTATGAAATGTAATTTTTATTCTGTGAAAATGTGTATTTCATTATTTTTATACCTAAAATTCAACAACAACATTTGTTGACTACTCCACCCATCCATCCATTTTTTTCCCGCTTATCTGGAGTCGGGTCACGGAGGCAAAAGCCTAACTCGAGAGGCCCACACTTCCCGCTACCCAGCCACTTGGGCCAATTTTTCCGAGAGAATCACAGGTTGTTCCCTGGCAAGTTGAGAGACATAGTCCCTCTAAAATGATCTGGGTCTACCTTTAGGTCTCCTCCCAGATGGACGTGTTCAAAAAACCTCACCAGGGAGGCGTCCAAGTGGAATCTTAATCAGATGCCCGAGCCAAAAGATGTGGTGGAACAGCGGGTCTACTCCGAGCCCCTCCCGGATGACTGAGCTTCTCACCCCATCTCTGGGACAGCACCGCCACTCTGCGGAGAAAACTCATTTCGGCCGCTTGTATCCGCGATCTCGTTCTTTCGGTCACTACCCAAAGCTCATGACCATAGGTGAGGGTAGGAACGTAGATCGACCGGTAAATCGAGAGCTTCGCCTTCTGACTCAGCTCTCTCTTCACTATGAAAGACCGGTACAATGCCCGCATCACTGCAGATGCAGCACCAATCTGCCTATTGATCTCACGCTCCATCTTTCCCTCGCTGGTGAACAAGACCCCGAGATACTTAAACTCCTCCACTTGAGGCAGGACCTCATCCCTGACCCGGAAATGGCATTCCTCCTTTTTCTGACTCAAGACCATGATGGTCCATGGTCTCAGATTTAGAGGAGCTGATTCTCATCCCAGCTGCTTCACACTCGGTTGCGAACTGCTCCAGCGAAAGGCGGAGATCATGTTCTGATGAAGCCAACAGGACCACATCATCTGCAAAAAGCAGAGACCTGATCCTCAGGCCATCTAAACGGATGCCCTCCACACCTTGGCTGCGCCTAGAAATCCTGTCCATAAAGGTTATGAACAGAATCGGTGACAAAGGGCAGCCTTGGCGGAGTCCAACTCTCACTGGGAACGAACCCGACTTACTGCCGGCAATGCGGACCGAGCTCTGACACCGATCATACAGGGACCTAACAGCCCATATCAGAGGGCCTGGTACCCCATACTCCCGAAGTACCCCCAGAGGGCTCCCTGAGGGACGTGGTCGAGCGCCTTCTCCAAATCCACTAAACACATGTAGATTGGCTAGGCGAACTGCAACGCACCCTCCAGGACCCCCTAAAGGTCCGGCTGGTCCGGTGTTCCACGGTCAGGACAAAAACTACATTGCTCCTCCTGAATCCGAGGTTCGACAATCTGACGGACCCTCCTCACCAGAACCCCTGAACAGATGGAACACATCCTGCGGCCCCCCTTTTTCAATAGGGGGATCCACTACTTATTAAGTGTATTAATATTTGGTGGATCTCAAATTTCAAGGTTTTTAATAGTGGAAATCAATAGCTAATAAATTGTAGGATTTCCTGTTAAGCTTAAAGCACTCTGAACTATTGTCCCAAAATGAACATAAACTGAGAGACAGGCAGCTAGGTAATAAAAAAAAAGAGTTTGCATCAATTTCTGACATTTTTTTACTTAAGAAATATTTCACTATGCTCACCATTCACTATGACCCTACTGAGCCTAGCTGTTAGCCTGTCAATCTTGTCAGAGATATAGCATGTTTAAATTATTTTTTGACAAGAAGAGAAGTACAACCACAGGATATAACCCCCTGTTTTTTCATGTCCCATAATCCTTTCACCCGAGCTAACAGTCTGTCTTCTCTATTTCTGCGTCTCTCGGTTATCCCCCTTCTGTCTGTCTTTTCCAGGGCACTGTAATGATCTCCTCCCCGCCTGCTGTGGTGTTGAAATGAAACTAGCCTGCACCAAGCTGGTGCTGGTAAAGGCCCACATATCCCCATGGTGCGGCACTGTTAAAGCTTACACCAAACACACACCAGAAAAAGATCAAAAGGACAACCAAACATTCTGAGATGAGCTCGGCTTTCCAAAAACGTTACATAACTCCAGCTATTTGTCTCCTTACACAGCCTGGAACACTGTGTTACCAAGACTCATAAAACACTGCAGGTTCTGCCTGTTTTATTTCATAAACAAGGAATATTTTGAGTAAAGCACAGAGAAATGATGAGTGGAAGATATTAGTCAGCACAGGGTACAGATTGGTCACACACCAGGACTAGGAACGCTCACTGGCACTGAGCCATAAGCATACTGACATGGGCCTGTAACGTTTAAATAGCCGGCTGCAACAAAAACAAATTCAAACGATAGTATTCAGAAATGATCAGGGAGAAAACGCACCCAGTAGCAACAACTTTTACTTCTACCATCATTATCCATTTTTGTAACCGTTATAAAAAAAAAAGATCAATACTAAACACTAAAATGTTAATATTTAATATTATTTTTTAAAGATATTAGAATTTATTGTCAGTAAAAACAATCAAAAATGCTATCTAGTGATGCACCGATATGAAATTTTTGGGCCGATACCGATATTAAGATCACCGTTATGGCCGATAACCGATATACCGACATTAATGCTTCTAAAATCTGCAGATTTTGTATAGAATGAAAATTATTAAAGCTGAATTTACATTATTATGTTCATACAACACACACATTTATGGTTCTGAGATGATTTCATGCACTGTTCACATGACTAAACAATTACACATCAACCCCCCCCCCCCCCCCCCCCCCCCCCCCCCCCCGAAACAGGCAAACAAGTGGAGACAAGATGGAAAAACTATCAGTTGTTAATATCGGCTCGGTTTTTTAAATCAAACCGATGCCGATATGTTAAAATATGACTAACATCGGCTGATACCGATATTGATGCCGATATATTGTCCATCCCTACTAATATCTCTAATTTATTTTTACTTTTATCAGCATTTGGTGTGACGATGGCACAGGAGTCAAGTGATCGCCCCATAATTGGAAGGTTGCTGTTCGAGCCCCATTTAGTTTGTCACTGTCATTGTGTCCTTGGGCAAGACACTTTAAGTGACAGTGTGCATTTTCCCTGGCAATAGGGGTCGGTACATACCTAAATTATTGCAAGCAGTATTTTTGTGTTTGAGTAAGACCTTACCAATGGATGGCCATTAGGGTGAAAAAGCCCTGGGAGTGCAAAATGCAGCAAAATAAGGACATCAGATTCCCTTTCATCACTGGTATGGCTTCGCCCAGAGACTTACCCCGGCTTTCCACGGGAGCCGTCAGCAGCACGTTACTGCAGCAGCACGTCACAGCTGCTGATAGGAACCGCTGTGATCAACAGAACCTTTTCCACGGGAGCCGTCAGCAGCACGAGTCGGCCGCGTCTCAGGAGCAGCATGTCGCGGCCTTTACGCGCCGGTTCTATTTCCTACGCGCGACGCCTCTGAAACGGGTCAATTTAGACATGTTTGGGGAAGGAAAGACAGGAAATCGGACGCGGAAATGGAGAGAAGCACCCGAGATTTTCAGAATAAAGAACGTACTGCCTTCCGGTTGCTTTACTTTTAAAAATGTTACTAAATGTGCGGCCCCGTGAGAAGTTATCACCTAGCTAGCGGTCTCCTTTGTTTTTCAGGTCCGTATTGGCGATTATAAAACGGACAGAACATAAAACACAAACCATGTTGTAGTTTTCTCCTGCTTGTTGTTGTGTTTACTGACGAAGTCACTCGTGTGGGGAGCGGTGACAGCTGCTCCCCTGCTGCTTCGCGTCTCGTGGGAAGGGCCAAGCAGCAGTTTACGCAAGCAAGACGTGCTGCTGCAGTAATGTGCTGCCGACGGCTCCCGTGGAAACCCGGGGTTAGACCCACTCCCATGTATTTTAGAACAGATTATTATGGTTATATGTTTTGAAACTGTCAATATTTTTCAGCGACAAAGCATCTTTTAATTTATTTACAACAGCTTTTTGATGGATATTTCCTGAGATTAATTGTAAAAAACTACACTTTGTGATTCTAAATGATAAATGACCCGCACTCGTATAGCGCCTCTCAGAGTAAGGACTCCAAAGGACTTTACACTACAGTGTATCATTCATCCATTCACACACTGATGGTGATGAGCTACGATGTAGCCACAGCTGCCCTGGGGCGCACTGACAGAGGCGAGGCTGCCGAGCACTGGCGCCACCGGTCCCTCCGACCACCACCAGCAGGCAAGGTGGGTTAAGTGTCTTGCCCAAGGACACAACAGCAGAATTCTCTGTCCAGAGCTGGGATCGAACCTGCAACCTTCCGATTTCTGGACAACCCGCTCAACCTGTTGAGCTACTGCTGCCCCAACCCACCTTGCCTGCTGGTGGTTGGAGGGACTGGTGGCGCCAGTGCTCGGCAGCCTCGCCTCTGTCAGTGCGCCCGAGGGCAGCTGTGGCAGCTGAGAGGGGTGGCAACATTTCCAGCAACACTGAAAACCCTCTCGGATGGTGCGCTCGTTGCACTAACGCACACGTACTTG